CTATCTTAACTCTTTCAATATGGGGTCGGACAATGTGACAACCTCGTAACCATTTTGTGCTTGTTATAGTTTTCATGCTATAACTTTTAAATTAGTAAGTAAATGTTAACAAAATTTGGCAGATTACCGAAAAACATTACAATGCTTTCATATGCAAAATATCTAATTTTGTTTTAAAGTAATAAGGTTTGTAAAACAATGTTTCTCTCATGTCTTTTATTTTCACATCTTGCCTATCTATCATGCAAAGTAATTTTCATTTTAAGATTAAAAATACTTTTATGCATCAGAAAATTTTGAAATTTCACATGAGAAATGTTTATAATGTCTGGATAGTTACCAAAAGTTACTTAAAGTTTTAAAACTTGAATTATAATCTACAGTTTGATACCAATTCATGAAATAGTAGTTCAATAAAATTTTGAAAACGAGTCAACAAACAAGATAACATGGCCTTTCACCTATGACCCATCTTGAAAGGATTAAAGCCAATACACTTAAATAAACAATTAACCTAGAAATTAAACAAGATTAATTTATTTATTTCCTTTTTCAACATCAATCAAAGTGCAAGTTTATATGAAGCATTAAGCTAATCTTTTAAATGTTCTATTTTTGTAGTTTAACATGTCTGCAAATATTCCTAATCCTGAGCAATATTCTATGTAAAATATTTGACCTGAATCAATTAAATATTAATTCCATAGCCATACAAGGTTTCCTCAATATTTCATTTTTGGTCTGTCAATAGAGAATGGGGAGGTGCATCAGGACTGGAGAGTTGCTATGGTTACTCCTATTTTTAAGGATGTGAACTTCGTGGACTTAAATTTCTCAATGGCTTTAGATAAAGTGTCACAGAAAATTAGTCAAGAAAACCACATTGTTAGAAGTTTGGCAAAGACTAGTTAATTGTAAGTTGTCTGGATGAGAAAAAGCAAAAGGTTGTTGTTAACAGAGTTCATTAAAAATGTACCCTTCTTAGTGGTGAAGTCTCAGGGATCAATGCTTAGGCCTTTGCTTATTCTTATTGACATTTATGATATTCACAGAGGCATATTTATGGGTATTTCTAGCTGTATTGGGTATGTTGAAGTATTACAGAATGACTTGGATCAATTGGTAAGTTGGATAAACATTAGGCAAATGACTTTTAATTCTAGTAACTTCAAAGTAATGCATTATGGTTATCATAATTTGGATTAAAGATTTTATATAAATGGGAACCCACTCAGTAGTGTGAGTGAAGAAAAATAACTTCTCATAGTGAGAGGTAAGTATCATGCCTTTGATGCAGTGCTACTAATAAAGCTAAAGAAACTTTGGATGTGTAATGGGCATACTAATCACAAGATAAAAAGAGATAATTCTCTCTATACAAATCACTAGTTAAACTTTACTTGGAATATTGTGTACATGTTTGATCTTCTTATCCAAGAAATGATATTGAGTCATTTGAAAGGGTTCAGAGGGAAAAACACTATAAAGAAGATTCTGGACCAGACTGTAATGTTTATTGTATGGGGAATGGGTATGATGAAATAAAAATTTTGATGTCATCCCTCATGCTGAAATTTGTCACATCAAAAAATTAATATAATACATTTATAGCCTATTTTGGTTAGTACAAAGAAGCATTTATTTGCATATTACCATACATAATTGCAGTACAGTAGTGTAAAAATTAATGTTTATAAGTAATCAACTTTTATTTAAAACAATACTCCAAATATAATATACACACATTTATATAAAATTTTAAAATAATATAAGGATAATTAAATGTTTAAATGTCTTCAAGTAAGCTAATATAGATTGTCAATATCAGAATATATGTGCAGACAGATTTTTATCAAGTAATAAACTATAAGGTGAGCAAGGAATATGTTTTCTGCATAGATCAAATATAATAATCTGGACTGGGGATGAAATGGTTATCTTACAGAGATACAGTAAGATCTCAACTTACTCTCTCTTGAGAAAAGAAAGGTAAGCGTTGTTCTTATTAAAATTTTCCAAATTATTCAGATGATTAATATTTTAAAAATAAAAGCCTCGGATTTCTCAATTCTCTGTACTACATTCTGAAAGTGAAACTAAGTGGGCATAAGTTTAAAATTGGGGAGAAAAAGATAGGTTAGGCTCCAGCATTTTTAATTTTATTTACAAGTCAACTGAGTTCAACTCGTAATGGATTATTTCCGTAAGTACCGTTATGTTACTTTAAAAAAGAAACTAAAAGTTTACTTTTAGTTTTAGGCCTACCTCACCACCTAACTTACCAGACTTAATTCCAAATCCAAAGAATTCATAGATTTACGATGTCAAACTGACAATATGCAACGACTAGATTACTCCATAAATTACCGTGTTTAGTTCCATTAATTTTTAACTTTTCATTAAATAACCTAACTCTACTTACAATTACAGAAATTTAATATAGTTACTGCCTCATCGGGCGGCGTTTTTACAAAACATCAGACTAACGCGCCACCTAAAATATCCTAAGTTAAAGCTCATTACCAAATGTTTGTTTGATTTTGAAGAATGGTACTAATAACGTAACACTAACATACTTTAAATGATTGGATAACATGTGACATACCTTTACAATTACTTACTTATTATTATTCAGCAGAGTAACCAGTTATTCATTTATCTGTATGTTTGTAGTTATGCACAAAGCTACACAATGAGCTATTTGTGTTGTGCCCAGCACAGGTATATAAGCCTTCAGACTTACTGCTGAGCCATTGGTTGCTATTTATTTGTGACTTTTTTTCTTCGTCGAAACATCAGTTTCAGCAAAGAAAGTAACAAATCAATACATTACCAATTCAGTTATATTTGTCATAAGACCATCAGTATTAGATTTGTTGTATTTGTAAACACTAAATTTTTTATTCGGTCCCTTAGCGAAACGCATTGTTGTCGATGGGTCGGGCAGTCATAGTGTGGTTGAAATACTATTATAAAACATTTTTCTGAGAAAATCTTTAGGGACCATAAAGAACATAGTGTTTAAAAATACAATAAACCTAATCCTACTATGTTATGACATATATGATTGGTTATAATTACACTTTACCAGTAAAAGGTGTTCACATCATAACATTTGTTTTCTAACAAATATATAGCGTTATGACCAGTGACAACTACATTGAAAGTGAAGAGAAGCAAAATTTTCTGACCACCCCTGGTTGCCTTTCAGGTCCTAAAATCATATGTGTGTGCGCTTTTTATCCTTAGGAGCCTCCATGGGAGAGTATTATGGTGTTGGCATTAGGATCTAGCCCCTATGACAATTACCGAGAAGCCACTGTCTGTCAGTGGGTCTGTTATTCATACCTATAATTTTTGATGGATATGACCACAGGGTGGCCTATTTGGTCGCTATAATATTGTTGCGTCAGCGAGATCACGTGACTATTGTCACGCCACCTGCTTTCTAGAACTATCCCGTTCCTTCGGGAGTGCTCTAGCATTTACTAGATTGGGGGTTGGTCTGGTATATATAAGATGGTCACGGCGTGACGTGACAATAATGTGTGTGTAGGTAGTGAGTAATTGAACTGCAGTCAGGAAGTATTTTTGAAGTTAACGTTCGTTGTTAAAACGTTTGTAAAAGAGCGACTGTTGAAAATAAGTGTATCGGTAAAGTTATATTCAGAAATAATAAACCAGTTTTATTAAGTAAGGACTTGTGTCGCTAAAGTTTCGTCGGAACGAAGTTACGGAAAATCAATTAACAAACGGAGACGTAACAATATGTATTAATCTCTATCAAACTTTGAAGGTGTCTATTGGTTACTATGAGGAGTGACATGGAAGGTCGGTATTTAAATCTGGTCCACCTATACCACTCCCTGAGAGGTCCTTTTATATTCCCTGTGCATTGAATGGGTATTTGAGTTAGTTTAACTAATACAGTATAGCATCACCCTAGGCCAGAATACATTTTGTTATCTGTTAGACATGTTTTCATCTTGATTCCAACAGGTACGTGAAATAATTCCTCTCAATTTTCTTCTTGTTATTATTTTTTAAGCTTCGACACATTACGATGTCTGGAAGAATACAGTCTAGCTTTTTGCACTAACCTTCCCAAATAATCTCAGTGATATTTTGAAGATCTGAATGATAGATAGGTCATTCAAATATATCGATGCTGTTACTTTAAACCCAGTTGTATTGACCTACTGACAATAAAACTTCCCCAGGAAGCATGCTAATTTAAGATATTTTGATATCCATAAGCCTTTTTATTCGTACATATTTTGTAGTTAGGTCATAAACCCAACATGCATAATTCAGCTCATATATAAAAGCCTCATACAGTTTTTCTTATTCAACAAAATAGTGGTATTGTTATCAGACTTACAACATAAATGGCACCTTATGCAACACATGGGCCAACCAACCAAGTCAGGTAATCTAAGTTCAGGCCGAGCTATCCCTTATTTAGAGCTGCTTACTGGAGGAGGGACAACTAATCAGCAGCATCCACAGCATCTGTGACTGATCTTAACTAAGTAACAGGATTAATTATCCCTTTTGTACCCCCCCTTAAAAAAAAAGCTAACTAACCACCATGTTACACCCTTTTCAGACAAAACATAATCACGGTCATATTTAAGTGTATTGACATAGACTTTTA